ATTCAGAGCATTTATATGGCTTTTCACCAGTATGAGTCCGTCGATGTGAAACTAAAGCTGATTTTTGGCTTGAACTGTAGGAACATTCAGAGCAGCTGTACATTTTTTCGCCAGTATGAGTCCGACGATGTAAAACTAAAGCTCTCTTTCGGCTTGCACTGTAGGAACATTCAGAGCATTTATACGTTTTTTCACCAGTATGAATCTGTTGATGTAGAACTAAAGCTGTTGTTTTGCTTGCACTGTACGAACATTCAGTCTTGTAAGTCTTTTCATCAGTATGAACCAACTGTTGACAAGGTAATGCTGATTCTTGGATGGGACAATGCATCTGAGAAGTAGGATTCGAATACCTTTCTGATTTAATAACAAGATTATCTTCCTCTTTCTTGATATCTGTCTTCATCAATTCTGGTACGATGTAATCTTCCAGGCCCTCTTTCTTGATATCTGTCTTTATCAATTCTGGTACGATGTAATCTTCCAGGCCCTCTTTCTTGATATCTGTCTTTATCAATTCTGGTAGGATGCAATCTTCTTCCATCTTCATATCATCTTTAAACTCTGGTACATTTTGCTGCTTCATTTTACTGGAAAGTCAACAACCGTACGCGTACGTGTAAATATGTTGGTATTTGATGATGGTCACTAGAAAATGATATGAATGTAAATTCGAGGTGTATTATCTCCGATACGATATTTCAGATAAGAATTAATTGGAAAAATGTTAGCTCTGTTCATGGAGCATCATACTTAAAGCTAGCTAATTAGAGAATAGAAAGACCCAATGAAAAAAACAAGCCTTGATCACAGAAAATAGGGAAATGGCGGAGAGGGTAGTCAAATTCGTTCAAAGTTTAAAATGTTATTTTGATATTTTGCCGATAATTAGTTGCAAATAAAAGATAATACATATATACATACATTTATTACTATTATAATAAACTTCTAAACCTAATCTTGGAAACAATTAAACTACAGTCTTTAAACTAAAGCTCCACGATAATGTTATGTAGCTGAATATATCTGAATATATATTTGAATATTGCATAACCATACAGTCCGTGATCTAGTTCGTGATGTTCGTGATGTAAATTTTACGGTGATCACTCTTTACAGAATTCTGTAGTATTCTGTAGTATTACAAGATCATGAATCTGGTCAAGATTTAGGAAAGGTCACGTTTAACATCACGAGCTAGATCACGGACAGTATAGTACAGACAGATCGTAGTACTGAAAAAATCGATCGACCGACACAAGAAGCTTTCGAAGGATTTTTGACGTTTTTGAGTCCCATTGGGTGCCCTTTATGGCTGACCAACTTTTCCAAACTTTTCCACGTGTCTTACGCCCACTTTTTGCCACTTTTACCACTTTTTACCACCTTTCTTGTTTGTCGAATATCCTTAGTTTTGATCATCGCAAAAGCTTGCAGATTAATCGAGGGTGTTCATCTTATCAGGAGGAAAAACTGTTGTAAAGACACTTTTTACGTCAGACAATTAGTTAATTGGATAATTATCAATTAGCTAATTAGAAAAAATGTAAAATTTTGTAATTGGCTCAAAATGATCGAAATAGCTTAAAACACGGAGAAAAGTAGTTTTTACTTGTAGAAAAACTTTGAGTCCGGAACCCCCTCAAACGTTCGGTCACAGGTTGTTGCTCTGCGAAGCAGAGCAACGATCTGGAAGGGTTGACAACGTCAATCAAGTATCCACCCGAAAGCAACCCGAAGAGATTTTTACAGCATGTGATAATTGATGCAATTAATCGAAACTATTAGTTTTGCTATAAGAATTCATATTTTAAGATTTTTACTGTTAACGACTGCTTTTCTTACTTACTGTATAAAAAATGGATTTAAAAATCATTTTCTGAAATAAAAAAAGTCTTAAAAAATGGAAAAAAATCGGATTTTTGATGGTTTTGAGTGCCTTCTAGCGTTCATATTAATGTCCGTTCATAATTATGTCTGTTCATTTAATGTCCGTCCAAATAAGGTCCGATAAGGTATATCATCAACTTCCTACACTTAACTTGGGTCTTATAATTAAATGGACAAAAATATGCAAAGGCTAGACCCCCTTCAAACGCTTCAGCTTTTAAACAAATCTTACCAATTTGGCTATATTTGGATTTGGTAGTAATTTAACAAAAAAATAGCTATAATAGCTATAGCCTTAGGGGCTAGGTGGCCTAGTGGTTAGAGCATCCGCCTTCTGCGCAGAAGGTCCAGTTTTCGAACCCCAGTTAAATGAGGAAGGGTACCTGTTAAAAGTGCAAGAAACTTCCTAGGATACCCCTTCAGTGCATACTGTACATAGTACTATTAACTATTATTATATAACTTTGTTTAGTTACAGAATACAGACGCGATCGCTGTTGTATATCTTTTACGGTTTTTGCGGAAAGTCGCGTTAAAGTTGATGCCGTGGTGTCAGTAAAATGGCACGGAAAACTATCGTCTCGCTTTATATAATATATATAGTAAGATGTATTTTTAAAACCATTGTTACTTTGGTACATAGTTTATACTTCATAACATGTGAAGCCATTGAACCTGGACAATGGCACATACACGACACACAGTGCTCCACCAGAAGCCCCATTTCAAGGATAATTCTATCACTCCGTGCTTTATTTATATTCTATGTGATTAGTCCCAGAGCTGGAGTCTGAGGTGTAACCCCAGGAAGCCACTCCTGTGCACTGATTAGGAGAGAATAAAACCTAAACGTAAATCAGATTCCAGTCTAATAATTGTACCCAAGTTAAGGGGGGGGGGGGGGGGGTGGATTTTTTTTGCGAAACTTGGTTTCGAGATAGCAGTTGACCAACAAACTAGAACCGCGCCGGTGACCGAACTTTTGAGGGGGTCCCGGACCCCAACCGCCAAACGGTGCCCGCGGGGCAGCCACGCCCATATTTGGTCCAAATTAGGCCTAATTTAGCCAAATACCCTGAACATGCGTAAAACCCAGATTTAAGGTGCTCTACTTGTAGCTAGTAGTCCCCTGAACTCGTATATGAAATGTCATCAAGATTGGACAAAAAATAACGGAGTTATCAGCTAAAAACTATATGCCCATATTTGGGCATACGCACCTAATTTGATCGATTTTGGCCCATAAATTAGTCAAATATCGTTATTTTTGATATTGGTATTTTTAACCCATTATAATGATCATTGAAGCGCTTCAATAACCACAGCAAGGATCAAAGAAAGCAGTTTAATGGTAAATGCAGAAATTGACTGATGGACGATGGAATTCTGTGCCCACTACTAACGGACCGACATCATAGTACATCACTAAATTGATATATCACTTAAACTTTAATTTAGCGATCACATCTCATCTGCTGTTTGATCTTTAACCATCAGACTGTTGGAATACACCGAAGTAAAATAAGTGTCTAGATAAAAAAATATCCAGAAAATTGTTGACCGTGATTAATGGTAGAGTTATTCTCATGATATCAGTAGGGACTCACTGTCGATGACATGCTTGTTCTCCAATTCCATGTGGTATTATTTATTAATTATTATGTGTACATTATTTATTATACCGTCCCCACCGGAGGTGGTGCACTTATTTGAACAATAAAATTACATAGCATTAACCATTACGAAATTGTGTTTTCAGTGATTGTGATATTTGACGTTGTTAATATGGAACGTGGATGCCATAATCTTAGTTCAAAACTTGGATACATACTTATCGTAACCTATTTGTCTTTTCTCGTATTTTTATTTTGCCAAAGTCTTATCCAACGTGACAAAGGAGCACACGTGTCCTTATCAACTGATGTGGACTCTGTGCAAGCAGTGTCGGAACTACAATCCCATCAGTTGCGTTCATTGGGAGGAAGTGAAGGATCTAACAGTAGCGCAGGTGTCATAGAGAATGCCTTGAAGGAAGTTTCAAACAATTCGGCAGCGGCTGTTATTCGGTTAAACAACAAGCTTTCTACCACATCAACGGATTTCTGAGATCTGTAGAATTTTCACTTTGAGTCGGTTTGGCGGGATTCAACAACTCTACCTCTGGTGACAGTCTGACACTGCTAGATTGTACACAAGCAATCAGTTTGAACTTAGAAAAAGGTAGACTCATCTACAGGGATGATCAAGCAGATGGTCGTGGAGTACTCTGCATTGCTCCCGAAGGAGGTGGAGGCATATGGTTGGGAAAGAAAATAGTTCTGACTAAAAAATGTAAAAAAGATGCATCGCAGATTGATCTCCTTGAGGAAAGTGCATTTCTACGTGACAGAGCAGCGCTTTTAATGCCGTCTGGAGATAAGTCTTGTGATTCGCCATCCAATATTATATATAGATCCCGCATATTACGCGGTCGTCTGTGTGTACACATTATCTCTAATATATATATATTAGAGGCCCTTCCCCGTTCCCGTCTCCCGAGTATTGTCACTCAAACACCCGGACGAATCTGTAATATAATATGTATAATTAGATGGCCCCCGAACAGTGTAGTGTGTACTCTATCCAGCTACTCAGAGTGAGAGTTCGTCCCTCGTGACCTACACGTAACTTACAAGTGACCTGCACGTGACTTACAAGTGACCTGCACGTGACTTACAAGTGACCTGCACGTGACTTACAAGTAACCTGCACGTGACTTACAAGTGACCTGCACGTGACTTACAAGTGACCTGCACGTGACTTACAAGTGACCTGCACGTGACTTACAAGTGACCTGCACGTGACTTACAAGTGACCTGCACGTGACTTACAAGTGACCTGCACGTGACTTACAAGTGACCTGCACGTGACTTACAAGTGACCTGCACGTGACTTACAAGTGACCTGCACGTGACTTACAAGTGACCTGCACGTGACTTACAAGTGACCTGCACGTGACTTACAAGTGACCTACGGCTACACGTGACGCTCATAATCCAATTCCGTCCAAACGGCCACGGTCCTAAAATCTACATCCTTACATTAGCTTCGCAAACTCCGTTCTCTCTTAATCCTTATTGTGCTGATCAGCAGTTTATTTCTCAGCAGACTCAGTTTGGACTGGGTGCCTATTTTAGTTTGGTTTCTTACTTAACTGATAGTGATACAGCCAGGCATTATAATAGTGACAGTCCTAAGGTCCTTATTTCTGTGATATTCGTTAGTGACTGATTTTACCCTCCTCCTCTCACTTTCTCTAAATCTGAGACGAACTGTTAACTTTGTAAAGTCAGGTAGGAACGATAAGGATTAAGGATATATTTTGTGAGATTTAAAGAGATCATGAAGTGTAAATTTGCGAATTCTTCAAAAATTCTCGAAACTTGGGTAGTGAGCTAGGCTTGGTAATTCTGCCACAATCCCAAAATAGCTCCGTCGTAATTGCTTCACAAGCTGAGATAATATGGGGTATATCAATTACATTTTTCCAAGTAGTGGCTAGGTGACGGGAGAGCATATACGACATGTGTAAAAACGCCTGATTTTAATTGTCCATAACAAGTTTTCTGTTGGTTTTTTTGTTGAACGGACAAGACTACCATCAGGTTTAAACCATTATACTTCACATATCTTCCTAAATTTAGTGTACAGCGATTAATCTAGTTCCTACAAGCAATTAAAGGCAGCTCACTTCATGGAACTTGAATGTAGCACGATCAGTGTTCAATTTGTTTACTTTCGTTCTGTACGGTCTTTGTCTTTTAAAGCTTGCGAATGTGTGCTTTCTTGAATAACGTGTAATGTGTAAACACGAACCTAACGAATGTATCCGTAGTCTGTACCCCGTAGATAAAAGTCTTATCTTCCAATTAAAGAATTAATAACTAAGTCAGAGCTGTTACAAATTTTCGCGTTTGTTGTCGACTGCGGCACGTGTTTTCAGAGTATAGTAGCTCAAGCTTTGCAATTGGATAGAAAGGTTCGATACGTACTTCCATCATGTGTTGTGTCGGCGATCCGGGAAAAGTTTCCAAACACAGATGGATCAAGGTATACGGGTTTTATCAGTATCGGAACTGATGATGGACATATTTTGCCATGAAGTTAACAAGTAAATGTTTGTATCAAGAAAAAACTATTTATAATTTAAGGTTATTTTAAGTAATAGGTTCTTTCTAACCTGTATTGTTATTTAGCGTTTGGCAATTGAATGTTTTTCTTCCTACAACATTACACAGCAGTACGTAAACTTATAAGACAATTATTTGATGCTTGTGTATATTATGCACATTATACAACCACAATTTTCGAAAGATAAAAGTCAAATCTATCAAGTGTCGTTAATTTGAAGATTTTATCAATTAAATTGGCGCCACAGCACATGAATAAAAATGTGCATTTTAACACTGTTTCTATTGCGGTGTCTGACAGTTAGCCACTATCCAACAAATTAGGGCGATCTTCCTGTATCGATTTCACGCGACATAATTAAGTTACGAATCTGGGAATTCCGAGCCCTATTGTTATATTAGTGTTTCTATGTGATAGTATATGTGAAATGTTTTGACGATTAAGTCGGGGACACTTCATGATCCCTTTAAGAGGATTCAATATTTTACATCAGAGGTTTATAATACTATCTTAATAGCCCAAATAGCTGTAAAAATCAATATAGTCTCTGATAAAAAGCTTCTGTGTACAAGTTGTGATAACATTAAATTCTGCTAGTTGGTAAAAATGTTTTCAGGAAAGTTTATAGTCATCAAATTTCAAAAAACTCGTTACAAACAGATATAACATCATGATGGGGAAAGGAAAGCAGAGAAATAAACAGAAAAGAGATCAATCGGTTACAAATGGTGAAAAAACAATTAGCGGTCGGTACATACTTTACACTATAACATTATGCATGTCTTTTCGTAGTAAAACATTAACTAGGTAATTGTTGCTTTAAAATCTAGCAATTATTATAGAATTCATACTAAATTGATACATTTAGCAGTTAGCTCCGGCCGGGTAGTCACTGTGCTAGACTCTCTTTGTTATTATAGGGACTTAAGGGGGCATACCCCAAAACAGTGGTTTGTGCCGTCCAGACCAAATGACCTCATAGGCAGTTCAGTGACCTTCTAGCGCACCGTTTCCACACAAAAAAAAATTATTTTGAGAATTCCCATTTTTATAATCGACCATTTCCTGGTTAAGAGTGCAATTTTCGTAAAAAATTAATTTGTGGTTGAGACGCTATAAGTTAATCATTTCTTGCGGTATCGGGTTGAAATTTTGCTCGCCGTTTATTCACATCTATGTCAAGGTGTGTGAAAAATCTTGATATCGTATTTAAAAAGGCTGGTGTGTTATGAATTTTCAAAGTCAAAAAGCTAAAATTGTCCTTTTCAGACTTATTTTAACAAAAAGTCAGTCAGGGAAGATCGGATTATTTGATGCTTGACATCAAATTGTTCTCTGAATTCTGGCGCAGTTTTTGATGCCCTCAAAAATGTTTTTACTCATTCACCTCCTGATCTATTGGACCTCAAAGCCAAACAACAAATTTAGGCACATTTTTCGTTTTTAATATTTACTGATTTTTCTAAAATTTTGATAGGAATGTGCTAGTGACTTTTTGAAGGGTGCAAAATAACCGCAACTAGCATATTTATATATGAGTTATGAACAACAAAACACCCTAAAATGCTTCCCTTTGAAGTTATGGGAGAAAATGTGATTTTTTATCTGCAAACGGTGCCCGCGGGGCAGCCACGCCCATATTTGGTCCAAATTAGGCCCAATTTAGCCAAATACCCTGAACATGCCCAAAATCCAGATTTTAGGTGCTTTACTTGTAGCTAGTGGTTCCCTGAACTCGTATATAAATTTTCATCAAGATCGGACAAAAAATGAGTGAGTTATGAGCAAAAAATTCTAAATTTAGCAGTGCAAATTTTGGAATTGAAAAAATATTGAAACCCTATTGAGTTCTATTGTTTTGAGCGAAGTCAGTTTTGCAAATATCGCGAACTGAGATATGGGCAATTTTGTTCGTTTTTTGCGATTATTTGAAAATAGAATCCAAGATTAGGTAGATCCTGAGCTGATAATCATAGATAATGTGTAGTATAGGCTTACCTTCCATATAAAGTTGGTTTCATTCAAAAATATTGAAATTTGACCAATTAATGGGCCAAAATCGATCAAATTTGGTGCGTATGCCCAAATATGGTCATATGGTTTTTTGCTCATAACTCAGTCATTTTTTGTCCGATCTTGATGAAAATTCATATACGAGTTCAGGGAACCACTAGCTACAAGTAGAGCACCAAAAATCTGGATTTTGGGCATGTTCAGGGTATTTGGCTAAATTGGGCCTAATTTGGACCAAATATGGGCGTGGCTGCCCCGCGGGCACCATTTGGCGGTTGGGGTCCGGGACCCCCTCAAAAGTTCGGTCACTGGTCCTAGTTTGTTGGTCAACTACTATCTCGAAACCAAGTTTCACAAAAAAATCAGGGTGAACAAAATCGTTGATAAATGGTCTTGTAGAGCAAGTTGGAATGGAGGCAGATCAATGCTCAATAATATGCCTGTCCGCGTTTCCTAACACAAGTCGTGATCGACTTCAGAACATGGACGAACAGACCAAAAAACAGTTACTGTGTAAAGAAGACTTCCTAGATTTCTCAAGCTGGTGGAAACAATATGTGTTAGGTTCGATATGTAGCTTTGTTCAAACTGAAGCTTTTCTCACCAAACACCAGGAAATTAAGCAAGTATTGGTAGCAATGTACTGTACTGATATAAACCTATGTGAAGAACTGAAGTGTAGCTTAGGACAAGCTATATTTGAGATTGACGACGAGTTGAAGAAAGGAAACATAACATTTCTCAGTAAAAACCGTCCCCTAAACCCCAATGTGATAAAAGCAACTGATATAGTATCTGCTAATGTAAATCAAAATGGCATTGTCAACATTTTCAGCATGCTCGGAATAGAATACGTGACTGCGGAACAACACGATGCTTTCAACAGAGATCAGAACTTGTTGTTAATAAATGGACCAGCAGGTTCAGGGAAATCTATCATAGGCTATCCATTATCGGTATGAAATCTTTTATCTAGATAAACAGATAAAAATTTAGGTTTTATCTAGATAAAACCGATAAAACCGATAATTTTTCTGCTGAAGGCCAAAGCCAAAATGTTTTCCAAATTTCACAAAAACTGATTGTCGACTTTTATTACTGTCGACTTTTATTACTGTTTACTTTTATTACTGTTTACTGTTTTGTTTTGTGAAATGTATTGTAGTAGTGTTTTAATATTTAAATCAAACGTAACTCAATAGTTAATAATAACAAACACAAATACTATTTTAAATAATTGATTAATATCGATTTATACCAACAACCAAACATTAATTATTCTTTAATAACCTTTTATATATGTGTTAAACGATCCATGAAATATCTAAAATTCGATAATGAACTTTATATTAATAGTGCTGCGTGCTGATAAATATTCTGGGAATCAATCCACCCAGTCGTGGCAATAACATATCTTTGTGCTTGGCCGGTTTTAGGTTTGAGTTTGTGCTCCAAAAGTGGTAAATCGGGTGCTAGTAAAGCTCTTGCAGGCAACTGGCTCCTTTTGCCAACTGCTTTTGGTTTAAGCGCTGACTCACATTTGGAACTGGCACAGGTATAATTGTAATATCCTACGAAGTCAGCATGCTATATTATTTTGCAAAACTCGTTTAATATCTTGACAATATTTAAAGTTTATGGTTTTAGGTTTAGGCGCGGCGCACCGCTTATAAGTTATAGCTCCTTCATCTCCTGTTTTCAGCGCTGTGCTGCTACACGCTGTATAGCATGTGGATCAAGCGCGGTGCTGTGCCTAAGCAGCAAAAGAGTTATTTATTTTAAAATTTATTTTTGTATCTCAAAAATTATGTAAAGTTTTTAATAGAACATTTGAATATAATTTGAAACATTACAGAAATGACGTAGAATTTAAGCTATTTCCGTACAGCCTAAGTACAAAGTATGCTCGTTAGAAAAACTATGAACAATGAACATGCTAGCTTTCTTTATTTTTGTAAGTCGCGTCGGCTGACATCTTGGGTTGTACTGGATGTAACAAGTTTATTATCGGATGTCTACTTATATTTATTATGATATCATTATTCATTGTAATGGCAATAAAATTTAAATTTTGTTTTACCAGTAATCTTGCTAAAGTACAATTTCCTTTCTTTTGAAAATATTAGAGCATCAGTTTTCTTCTCCGGGGAACAATAGTGTACCAGTTCTCTTCAAAACAGTAGACCAACGGTTTGTCTTCTCCTAAGAACAGTAGTGTACCAGTTCTCTTCAAAACAGTAGATCACCGGTTTCCTTCTCCTAAAAACAGTAGTGTACCAGTTCTCTTCAAAACAGTAGACCAAGGGTTTCCTTCTCCTGAGAACAGTAACGCACTAGTTCTCTTCAAAACAGTAGACCACCGGTTTCCTTCTCCTGAGAACAGTAACGCACTAGTTCTCTTCAAAACAGTAGACCACCGGTTTCCTTCTCCTGAAAACAGTAGTGCAACAGTTCTCTTCAAAACAGTAGACCACTGGTATCCTTCTCCTGAGAACAGTAATGCACTAGTTCTCTTCAAAACATTAGACCACCGGTTTCCTTCTCCTGAGAACAGTAACGCACTAGTTCTCTTCAAAACAGTAGACCACCGGTTTCCTTCTCCTGAGAACAGTAGTGCACCAGTTCTTTTCAAAACAGTAGACCAAGGGTTTCCTTCTCCTGAGAACAGTAACGCACTAGTTCTCTTCAAAACAGTAGACCACCGGTTTCCTTCTCCTGAGAACAGTAACGCACTAGTTCTCTTCAAAACAGTAGATCACCGGTTTCCTTCTCCTGAGAACAGTAGTGCACCAGTTCTCTTCAAAACATTAGACCACCGGTTTCCTTCTCCTGAGAACAGTAGTGCACCAGTTCTCTTCAAAACAGTAGACCACCGGTTTCCTTCTCCTGAGAACAGTAGTGCACCAGTTCTCTTCAAAACATTAGACCACCGGTTTCCTTCTCCTGAGAACAGTAGTGCACCAGTTCTCTTCAAAACAGTAGACCACCGGTATCCTTCTCTTGAGAACAGTAGTGCAACAAATACCAATTCTCCTCGAAACAGTAAAACATTTAAAGTGATTCAGTGAACCGTTTCCTTATCCTGTGGATAACTTGGAGCAACAGATTCCTTCTCCTGAAGACAATGTTTCACGCCTAGAACACTTACGGAATTTAATTGAGTGCCCTGCCGCCTGCCGGTATTTTTGACTCTTGTTAACAGTAACATGCTCGTTCCTGTCTCCAGAATGGTTCAAGTAAGGTAGAACGCCAGCACCCTAGCCTCAACTTCAAGATAACAATGTTAATAACTTTCTCTAGACTTTTACAGTTCTACAGTTCTACAGTTCCATAGGTATACAAATGTAAATAAACCTCTTAAGCTCACATTTAAGTAAACTACCTCTTCTATCATACTATAAAACGTTTGGGACTGTTTCTTGGATTACTTGGGAAGGCAAAAAACACTAATATTTCTTTAAAATTTTACGGTATTGTGGCAGTTTTTTCGGTAATGTCTAGTGAATTTTTATACCGATAAAAATATGTTTTATCTAGATAAACAGATAACCTTTTTTAACGAATTATCGGAGATAATTATCGGTAACGATTATCGGATCGGATAGCCTAATCTATCATCTTGTTGGCTAAGATCATAAAAGTGATCAAATCAAATGTGGATAACAGAGCTGTGTTGTACATTTTCTCAAATGATAACATCTCATGTGAACGTTATCAATATGCTTTACGTAAAGCTGAAATCAGTAACGAGGTGATAGTACCAAATGCTCACAATTACAGTGCAGAGTACACAGCACAGAAGGTATTAGACAGTATCTACAGGGTGGTAATACTTACGATTGGTTACGCACTAACAAAAACAGCAGTACTGACTCAACTGATGGAAAGTAACCTACACGTATTTATTGACGACTGGCAGGGTGTGGCAGGTGCGTCGAGAAATAGACCAATTTATAGAAAGTTACAACGCACCATCAGAGTACTCTCTCAAACGAACTGTGTCTGGATTGCTTGTGATTTAACTCAGTCACGCTACTTATGTACTTCTTATGATATTAGCTATATGTTACTTAACTCATTCATAAACGATATGCCCCCTGAAAACATTGTAACTTTATCTCTGAACTTAAGAAATACTTCTGACATTACTGACATTCTATCTAAGATCAGAGAGTACATAAAACTACAACAAAACGAAATAGATGATAATATCGACGTATTTATTCCAATGATAAAACAAGGACACTTTATACACGGACCACAGATTGTAGTGCATGTTATTGAGAAGCCACTTGATCAGGATCACAGTAAGGTTACTGATATCTTGAATACAGAGCTAATTAAATTATGTAACACAGACGTGACCCGTTCGTTTGAAATAGGTATAGTATCTAATTGTTCTTTGCTGTTTAATGATACTGTAATTAAAAAGGTAAATGAAGAACGATGTAGTGTATCTGATAGTAATGAAATAGAGAGTTGCAATATTTCTAATTGTTTGTCAGTAGAGTACCCAGCAGTTATTGTGTTATACGATGTTCGTCGTGCCCGAGGTTTACAACCTATTTACCTGCAGATTTCTAGAGCAAGGGTCTATTGTGTTGTTATATTATATGATTCAGGATTATATGGTTCAGGATTAGAAAATGATTCCAAGTCAAGCTTTAAATTTGAACAATTAAATGATATGTTGGTTAAACTTGGAGATTCTGTTAGAGTTATAAGGTATAATTGATAACACCATGTTGATCTGTGGCCAGAATATTTTCGTTGGTGATATAAATGAAATTTAAAAACAATTTTTACTTGTAAAAATTGGAAATACCAATATGAATTATTGATCCATCAAATCACCTATATAACTTAGTTAACAGAAATCCTTGATTTTGGGCGTTCCCACGCGAGGATATCAGAAACTTAGAAATCAGTTCTCCAACTCAGCTGAGATGTGTTCCTAGTGTTAGTGTTACCTGTACATCCCAGGGATAGCAACTATGGGTTACCTAGTGTTCACCAAGAAATAGCTATAGACTCTACTATAGCAGGGCATAGTTGAGTGTGCACATCGAAGTGCATACTCAACTATGCCCTGATACTAGAGTATAATAACTGTAGACTAGCTCAACTCCGCATGTTATTGCGCGCGGAACATGTTAACGCAAATATGTTCCAGGATAGTCAGGTCAAAATTTTGATTGCGCGCGTTACCACAACGTGAATATTTTGCCATATTTTGTCACAAAGACCACGAGGCCCCAAAATGGGGCTAACGTCCTTCAGGAATAGTGTAACCCATCACCCATGCAGTTACACTCAGATACTCGGTGAAAAGCATAACTTATGTTTTATTATTCTGCACTCACTTTATGTTTGATGTTAAAAGAAAAGGCAATGTATCACATTCTGATCTAATTTTGTATTCTTACGAATATGATAACTTGATATGGCACGTATCTTCTGGGTAAAGACTAATCACTCCTTACTGTCTATCCTACCACAAATATAATTAACATAAAATTAGTCGTCACAGAGCAGATATAAATATATAGCGTGTAAGAGTGAAAATATAGAATATGATTATTCTGCATTCATCTTTTGCCCAAAACTGAAATACAAGCTACTAAAATCTACAGTTTACATCTGATCTAATTTTGTATCCTGATCGTTCATTGATTTTACATTCATCAGCGCTTAACGTGAACTCTAGAAACTGCGAGCAGAAACACAATATTTCCTATATTTAACAATACATTGTTGAAATACTGTTTCAAAATATTTGCACTCCTATCAGTTATGTTGCACTTCATAAAATGGGACATCCAGAGATCCAAGCGGAATGTTCACAATAGTTCACAACTTGTCACAGAAAGTATCGTGTTTTGTCAGCTCATAATCACATCATGTTACAGTACTTGAAGGGTAAATGTCAGGCGACAGGCACTAGTTAGGAACACCGGGTCATTTCAACCGCTCCCACTAAATCGCTCGCCCAAATTTTAAGAAAATTCTTGTGGAAAGGCCCTGAAGGTATAGTGGCATCCTTGTTGTTCGTTGTATTTTTGAACGCTGATTCCGAATCACCCCCATGACGTAGGGTAAAAATGCTTCCCTGGAAAGTTATAGGCAAAAAATCAATTTTGGTCACGTGACAGGCTAGTAAAACACGAATTTGATTGTTTAAGGCTCGGGTTAGGGTTAGAGTTGTGGTTAGGGTTATGAATAGCTTTAGGGTTATGGTTTTTGTTCAGCTGCAAAACCATAAAAGCAAAGTCACGTGATAATTTTTGGGCGAGCGAATTAGTAAGAGTCCATTTCAACAGCACATTTTTGATACTTTCTATTGGATAATTAGTGCTAAAGTCATACTTGAATGATCTGCAATCATCAAGATCATAAGAATCTTAGTCCAGCGTCCTGAACCGACCAATCGGTGCGTATTCTGTAGTCACGTGGTCTTTAAAAACCGGTGTGTTGTAAACCACGTGACATCACGTGACCACTCGAGAACTTCAGCTCTATTTCATCACATTGCCCCTCCTCAGTAAAGTAAGCATCTAAATTGATAAAGACATCAGAATTAATCAAAGAGGAGAAAGTAATCATTGGCAGGTGTCTTTTTGGTCAGTAAATTCTGCTTAATAACAGAAAATATAGACTGTAATTGGAATATAGGATAAATGTTACGAAACTGCTAGTATTACATTTATTTAGTTCGTTGAATCAATGCAAGAGGCCAGTTGTTGACTATTGTTTCAACAGTGTTGAACCTTTGAGAGGTTGTTGTTTCGTGACCCTTATATTTGAACGGTATGCTGAGTGCACTTCCTTTTGGTACGTATTATAGATAACCATAATATTATCATTAATTATCATGTATGAAGACACTTCAACAGCTGTAATACTGTCCTCAAAATGGACTCTCTATCCAACTGAAATCACGTCTTATTAAAGACTGAATTTGAAATTCTGTCTCAGTAACCCTGATCCTGGTGGTGTTCAGCTCCACGTCACAAGAGAAGTGTTTAGAGGAACAACACCAAAAACATGGGCTAGAATGGGGGCCCGCTTTACAGGTCAGATTATAGTACAGCTGTAATTGGTTAATTAATTAATTAATTATACCAATATCGAAACATTTGACGGATTGTTAAAGTAGCTTTACAGGTCAGATTATAGTTCAGCTGTAATTGGTATAATTAATTACTTAATTATACCAATATCGAAACATTTGACGGATTGGTAAAGTAGAGGGGGTTCTGAATGAGATTCTTGGTTTCTTTCGGAAAGAATTAATGAGTTAATAAAGTATCAAATGTAATCTTGAAGTATTCGTAATCTTAAAGCTTTAAACTTTTAAAGGTATTTGTAATCTCAAAAGTGTAAAAATATTTGTAATCTCTTAAAGGTATTTGCTCGACGTAAAGCTGAAAGTATGTTGGATGATAAGGTAAGACGTAACAGACGAAGTCTTGAGATATTATCAGAGAAAGACAGATTAGGGTTTTACGAAGGTACGTCTTATCTTAAAAGTTTAAATCTGTTGATCGTTCGCGTTAGGAATGTCTAATCTTCCAATAATTTTATCAATAAATGCTTACATTTTAACTTGAACATAACGTGGTCAAACCCGATATTTTTAACTAATCGTATCCACAATCAATGTTTAGCCGTAAGATTTTTATCCTTTTAAGCTCCTTCCTCTCAACCTCCTGATTATTTCAGTTATTTCAACTATTTCACCCTCTATCATCTGAAAGGTATTGCCCAATTATTTCAACTATTTCAGGTGTGCCAGTATACCTAGAATCAGTAACGAGACCCAACCTGGGAGTACACCACCACATGTGTTCCCTCTATATGGACCACGTAGAAGAGTACACCCTGGGAAACTACAAGGAGAGTTATGGAGTCAATAAGGTTGGGTGTGATATAGCTGAGAACAGACATACCATTGCTGCTGTTTGTGTTTATAAGAATCAGCCTAAGAGTACATCATAGAGTTTCAGCTGTTTGTGTTTATAAGAATCAGCCTAAGGGTACATCATACCATTGCTGCTGTTTGTGTTTATAAGAATCAGCCTAAGAGCCGTACATTGATGTAGTGTTTCTTATCTAACATCTTATCAGTTTGATTGTGTGGTATTTTCCAACTCTTAACTTGTGTTTTTATGTGTAAAATCTTAAGATGGATTGCAGGCTGTACTTATAATAAACTGTAATGAGTAAATTTAAAGCTTCTTATTAGAAACCCTATTTAATGCCTGTAATTTACTATCAATTATAGAATTATGCTACCGGTAAAAACTTAAAAAGGAAACGTTGCAAACTCCATTGTTTGTGGAACTCGTGGAAGGTGAGAGCTGGTCTGACCACGTTTACCATTGAATTGGGGCAAGTCTAAGAGTCTTGAGTTAATGTACCAAAGAGGCAGAACATTGAGCCCTATCTGTTCGCTCACATGCTACAAGTAACACACAAGATAAGGGCACTGTGCTGTTTAAAGTCAAGAAGTTAACTGGAATAAAGCACGGTAATAACTGTAGCTTAGTTCAAGATGGAAGATTTGCTCGCATGGAGGCCAGGACCGGGGCGTTATGAATGATTCATTAGAAGGAAATTATTGCATTTCAAGTGCTCTCACGAAGGACTGGCTCACATTAATCGGTCTTAGAGTACCTGTGGGTCCGAAAGGAGGTTTCCTTTGTTTTCACATGGAAGGCGTTATAAATGATTCATTAGAAGACGATTATCTGGTTTCAAGTGCTCTCACGAAGGTATAGCTCACATTAACCGTTTATAGAGTTCGTTTTGTTGCACTGGTTTACTTCAACAAGTACGAGAATACTTTGAAGAACAGCCAGTTTTAGCACACCACGATGCTTAGATTGACTCCTATCGTCTTCGTTGTGATTTGGATAGTCACAGGCGGCTCCACTCAAGAAAGTACAGAAGGTAGGTCTAGTATTTAAAATGTCTATCAAAGTAAGGAAATTGATTTAGTCATGGTGCCTGGCCCAAAACAAGTTTCAGTGACTTTCTCTATCACTATGGTTTCAAATATTTCAAGGCAATCCACACTTTTTAAATACCAGCCTCAGAAAATTATTTTCTTCTCGGCGTATTCAGGGATAGAAGTTTTGCCTCTTGACCGACCGATTTCATTCTCGGTATCATTTTGCATACATTTGAGAACAGTAATTTCAAATGATTTCATTTCTTTCTGTTTGGAGGAAGGAGACACTGGTACCGGTCCGATCAACTTAATTCTGGGTTTTGGTAAAAAATTAAATATCTCTATGAATGTGTCTACTGTTTAGAAAGTTAGAACAACAAAGTTGTCACATGCTGGCATCAAAGTTACTTACATTTTCAGGAAAATGGAGCGAGTACCCTAACAAATTTTTGCCCGAATATAGTACAGGAACTTCCAAGTATGACAGTCTTGAGGATGCTAAGGATCACTGCCTCAAACGAAACGGTTTGTTCAAAATTAATTTTCATTCGTAAACTGATTATTTCAGAGTTGGGGTTAAACCTAAAAAATGCCAAAAAGATAAACAAATTCCCTGGTCACAGGAGGACTATAGTGCAAAGAAACTGCTGCGAACTGCGCGCGCCCATAGCAGCAGTTAGCAGCAGTTAGCAGCAGTGAGCAGCACTCACTGAGCAGCAGTTAGCAGCAGTTAGCAGCAGTTAGCAGCAGTTTTATGCGTGTCTTTACTGCGCGGTGCACGCCCCGCGCAACTGCTGAAAAACGCTGCTCACTGCTGTTAACTGCTGCTCACTGCTGCTATGAGCGCGCGCGCGACAGCAGCAGTTAGCAGCAGTGAGCAGCAGTTAGCAGCAGTGAGCAGCAGTTAGCAGCAGTGAGCAGAAGTTAGCAGCAGTTAGCAGCAGTTAGCAGAAGTTAGCAGCAGTTAGCAGCAGTTAGCAGCAGTTTCTTTGCACTATAGTCCTCCTGTGTATGGTAATAAACGATAAATTCGTTTAATTAAATTATAATTAATTTTCTAATCGTTGTTCTACCAGACTGCGGAGGTATCACATACGAACCAAACATTGGTAAGTACACTCTACGTCAAGGACCTGAACTTAATGACCACTCCCAACAAACCTCCTGGATTTTTACAACTAGTGGTGGGTATGAGTGCAGCCTGATATTTTTGTGAGCCCTAATTTTAAGATAGCAATGACTAGGGCCCCTTTAGGCGCCCAAAGATACTACATATACAAGATAGATACAAGGCTAGGTCACTCCCAGTGTTGGGATGGCCTGAGGTGCGTATCTCGTTTTCATTAACCCTAAGCTACTCTGTGCCAAGGCACTATACTAGTAATATACTAGCTGTAGGGGGGGGGGTTAGTCTAACGAGCCAGGGAGTGTGTATCACCAGCCGAAGCTGTACCAAATCACAGCTTGGTAACTGGCCGACTTGCATCCGACCGGATTCGAACCCGAGTCTTCTGCTTGGGAGGCGATCTTGTTACCACTACACCACCCGGCCGACTACATATGGCTCCGTAAAAACAGTGATTGTGCACCGGTATTATTGCCAGTTTAAATAAAGTAGAGCGTCTACATAATGTCTTCTGGTGGTGTCACAAAATGTTTCTTCAAGACCCAAATTCGTAACTCTTACCGATCAACTGCCCGAGAAATATGGATTCAAACTCCTAACTGGCTGTATTACTGATAAGTATTCCCTGAAGCAACGAATCCTCTAAAACCTCCTACGAGTGGGAAACCAAACAGGTTTACTTTATCATGCTATCATGGTTCCAAATAACGATCGTTGATTTCAGTCCGAAAGCCAGAGTTAGCAGAGATAACTGAAAGGAATGCAACCCAAGGTAAAACTTGGGTAAGCAGCAGTACTCCGTTACAATGCTGTGCAGCGGCGTACGCAGTTGACGGGGTCCTCTCAACAAGTGCAGCAGTTGACGCTGGTACCGGAGCAGCAGGCTGGTTCAAGCTGGAGTTTGGTGAAACTTACTTTATCCACAAGGTCCTGATCTACTACAGGTTTTATACCAACTGGTACAATCCCAGTCATCATTGTGTACAAAGTGAAGATGATTTTAGGGCCTGTGCAAACAATGATAACAACGTAGATGTGTCAGTGTACCAGGGAGAGAAACAACAGAAGTATTGTGGAACACTCCAACTATCATCCGGACTGAAACAAGCAGACCAGATCTACACATTACTCTGTAACTATAGAGGGGACTCAGTGAAACTAAGCAAGACTGCAGGAGTTATAGTATTGTATGAAGTAGCTGTTACTAGCAAAGGTAATGTTTCATGTTGTAAAATTTCGGAATTTATATTATAGTACCAGGCATCTTATGACATATATGGCATTTTCAAGGATCGACCGGAATCCCAACTTATAATAGTCCCGGTCCTGGCCTATTTTGCCGCATTTTATTTAATAGGATTAACATTGTAAAGGTTGACCCCTTTACCTATTAAATTTCAATACAACTCGTCTTGATACGACTGTTTTGCTTCAGTTCGACCGTTAGAAATAGCAGAGATAACTACAAGAACAGCAAGCAGCAGTACTCCTAAAGAATGCTGTGAAGCGGCGTACGCAGTTGACGGGGTCCTCTCAACAAGTGCAGCAGTTGACGCTGGTACCGGAGCAGCAAGCTGGTTCAAGCTGGAGTTTGGTGAAACCTACTTTATCCACAAGGTCCTGATCTACTATAGGTTTTACACCAACTGGTACCATCCCAGTAGTTGGTGTAGACGAAGTAAAGATAATTTTAGCGCCTGTGTGAATAGGGATAGCAACGTAGATGTGTCAGTGTACCAGGAAGAGGTAAATAAGAAGTCTTGTGGAACACTCCAACTATCATACGGACTGGAACAAGCAGACCAGATCTACACACTTCTCTGTAACACTGACGGGGACACTGTGAAACTAAGCAAGACTGCTGGAGATATAGCATTGTTTGAAATAGCTGTTACTAGTACAGGTAAACATGTTCAATATTTCTTCGTATCACGTGACCTTAAATATCTAAATAATAGCTGCCTACACTGAACTCCACTATCCGACTAAGATCAATTCCTGATAATTAATCGATAATTTTACCATTACAACAGCTTAGAAGTATCTAATAATTTAATAAGTGTTTATCCAACTAGAGCGATGGGCTGAGGTAGGAGAGATCACTCCTTCTGCGGCAACTGGAGAAACTCAAGATTGCTGCCCAGCAGATCTTGCAATCGACAAGGATCTTTCCACGAGGGCTTCAACTGAAAAAGAAGAAGGAGCACGCTGGCTCAACCTGGAATTCGACAAAACCTACTTCATCTTCACCGTTGTCATCTACTATAGGTCCAACAAGTGTTATTACATTCATTGTATTGTTTTATCTATTTTTAAAGTTGTTTAACCTTATAGCTGAACATTGAACAATGATCATTACTGAAATTATGTATGTATATTGTTTGAATATATTTTAAAATTAAAAATTTTAAGGTTCAACACTTATTGGTACCATGAAGCCGCAAACTGTGCAAATAGCGAGGATGCCACGATCAAATGCATAGATGAAAACAACAACGTAGATGTGTCAGTATACCAGGGAGATGTAAAACAGGCATCTTGTGGAACACTCCAACTAACATACGGACTGGAACAAGCAGACCAGATCTACACACTGCTCTGTAACACTAAAGGGGACAATGTGAGACTCAGTAAAGAAACTGGTGTACAATTGGTTGTGTTTGAGGTTGTTACTACTGGTACATCAGGTTAGGAAATGTACTGTTTTTAAAGCTCCTGCTAATAAAATATTTCGTATCATTTATATGTTTCAAGAACCCTCTCCAAGAAGAAATATACTGATTGTTTTTATCAAACTATATGTATGGACTGAGGGTGCTAAGCATATTCGATATAAATCTTTCCCAAACTCTCCTATGAAAAAAAAGAAGACACTTTGTAACTCTCAATCTGAACAACATTAAAAGCATTAACAACATGAACAACATGAACAACATGAACAACATGAACAACATGAACAACATGAACAACATGAACAACATTAACAACATTAACAACATTAACAACATTAACAACATTAACAACATTAACAACATTAACAACATTAACAACATTAACAACATTAACAACATTAACAACATTAACAACATTAACAACATTAACAACATTAACAACATTAACAACATTAACAACATTAACAACATCAACAACATCAACAACATCAACAACATAATATTTATAACATCAATACAACAAGAATACTTTTCAGAATGCACAAGTTTTGATGGTTGGAACTTCACGGGATTGGCAGTTTCACCATCACAATTACCAGTACCAACAGGAACCGTTCTAACAGTGAGCTGTGAGAAACCGAAGAGATTTGCTCTCATGTCCAGAGACAAAGCCCTGACTTGCGAGTACGGTAAGTTGCGAGAATGTGAGAATAAGTTTTGTGTTTGATATCAGAATTTCTGTCAGTGGAATGTCACACAACAAATTCGTGCCATCCACACAATTAACTGTATATAAATACATAATATGAATGTGATATTTTGGAGCATTCATTTCTACAATATGGTTACAACGCTACTATTTCAGGATCAATATTTTCCTACACAGAGATCCCAAAATGTGGACGTGTAGGTAAGGAACCAAATTTTTGTGTTTATCTAAGACAGTGAATGACTTGCGGGCGTCGGTTCAATGTCTTAGCATAAACACTCTTTATTAACAGGGATCTGTATTTTTAGTGATTGATTTTAGAGAATTTAACCAACCAGTAAACTATCTTTTTTCTTCTTTTTTATCATTGTTAATGATCGATTCAAGATAATTGAACCAACCATTAACTTTTTCTTTTTCTCCCCTTTCTTTTCTCTTTTTCTTTTTTCTTTTGTCCCCCTTACTAACCAGTGCAGTGCATTATCCGCGATGATCCTTAACAGACACAGGTTGAACAGACACTTTGAGTGACAATGGTAAGATATTATAATCTTATATTTTTAATTACGTAATTAATAATAAATTTGACGAATTAAAATCTGTTACTGTAGTATTCAGTGTGAAATACAATGGAGTATGCTATAGGTTAAAAATACTAAAATAAAGAAACTCATTGATGACAATTATAATATCATCATGAGCATATTATATACAGCTAGTGGTATTGTAATCATGCTCAGCTGAGAGAGTTGACTAATGTATTTATTTAACTGTCTGAGAGGGCTTCTTTGATTTATTTTATGTCCCCAACTTTATCCACATCAACCCTCTGCCCACCGGTTGAACGATTCTAAATTTTTAACCGGTGGGCATAGTGTTACCATGGGAAATCTCGTGATTAAAAATCGCTTGCTCTTTTTAGTTTGTAGGCACTGTGGAGTATGTATTTTATATTTCATTCAGCCTCAATAATTATGGTGATTTAGTAGATTCACTACAGGTGTACAATGGAAAATAAGGTAATAAAGTATTAGGGTCATTTAATCCTATTTCCCTGGTGAAGTTAATCACGCCACAATAATTATTGTGAGTAATTAATCTCAGGAGGATTCGTCAGTAATTGAAAGAGGAATATTTTCAGTCTTTAAAAAGGCCTGCATTTTTAAATTGTCTGTGGTTGGGTACGTTGTTGCAAAAAAGTTCAGACGATGTCGCAGCTCCTCGGTTTTGGTAAGTAAGTAGGGTTCGGAGGAGATCCCATGTCATTTTCTAAATCATTGCTCAGACTTCAGGTTGCCCCAAGTAACTTTTTGCCTCAACTGTGGCTCAGAAATTTCAGTCTTGTGCCCCAACTTTTGAAGTAAATACGATCAAAACACCACATATCCCACAGGGTTGGTATGTGCTACATTATCCTGCTGTATCTTAGTGGTGGTGTGTCCTGACCAGGTCACGTGCTTAAAGGAAGGACATGCAGATTTGGAATGGGGTGATCAGCTACAGGTTCGTACTTTAGACGAGCATTCAGTAACTATAGTTACTACTATAGTTACTACTATAGTTACTACTATAGTTACTATAGTTACTACTATAGTTATTACTACAGTTACTATAGTTACTGCTATAGTTACTACTATAGACAGTTTTTGGGTTTTCCAAATAGTTTCTGATTATTCTGATTTGCGACAAATGATATTGCACTGTTAGGATAAACGACGTTTCAAAGTAACAACTTCTTATTCATGCTCAAATTATTTGTTATATAGTAGTGTTGAAAGTATTAAAACTACTATAGTTACTACTATAGTTACTACTATAGTTACTACTATAGTTATTACTATAGTTACTAATATAGTTATAACTAAAGTTAATACTATAGCAACTAAAGTTACTACTATAGTTACTACAGTAACTAGGAACTAGGTATTATGTATAATCTTCACGAAGTCTTTTTTAACAATCGCCAGTACTACAATGCAGATTAATTGAGAGACTTTGATCACAGAGAAGATTCTAGTGTACAACCAACTAGCTAGTCAATTATGTGATAGATTAGTAATAATAAACAATGAACAATTGACAGTCTCATTAAATAGGTCATTGCCGAAAAACGGGCAAAAAAAGTAGTGGCAGATCAACCATCTCAAGAAAAGCAGAGTTTAGGGGGACCCAGTTTAGAATCTGAAGGTACCTTCATTAGCTCACTTTTATCTTCCCCTGTTGTCATTTCAATAGTTTTGAAATGGCTTCTTTATTTTACGTTCACACCAAAATTACAAACAAATCTTTAAATCCCCATGCAGTTATCATTATCATAACAGCAAGCTTATTTTCAGGGTTAAAGAGAAACGTCAGTCTTTTCTGCGTACTATCTAAAAAAGATAATCTGAACATGTACGAGCGCATGTGCAGAGTGTATTTTGATGAGGAAGAAGAGAAGGGCTCTGAGAGTGCACTGAAAGGAAGTTATACAAAGGTCGGGTGTGGAATAGCGGAGAGTGGTCAATATGTGGCTGTTGTCTGCTGCTATAAAAAATAAGACTGTTTTAAAACATAATCTTTTCTGGACTCTTAGAAATAAGACTGTTTTTGTGGACTCTTAAAAATAAGACTATTTTTCGTGCACTCTTTTGATGAAATGTTTTGCATTAAGTTACATTGATAGTTGGATAATATCCGGTTGAGAGATATTATCCAACCGGATATTATCCAACTATCAGTATTTCAATCATGAGACTAATAAACAGCGAACTACTCCATCATTTGATATTTGATATTTGATATTAAGTTACATTGTTGATCATTTCCAAATACGATTTAGTTCTCATCTGAATCTTTGAAAGTTTTAGTGAGTCTCAAAAAGTGTTGGACGGAAAATGACCATTTTTAACCACTAAATTCTTAACTTGGTTATAATCAGTGATTAAATTCAAAAATGCAACATTGATCTAAAAACTACACCCTTCAATATTCCAAGGATTAGGATAGAAAACCTGTCAAATTTCCTGGATACTGAAGGGAAAGGAAGCAGTTCTAACGAGCTCTTCTCAAACACAAGGATATATTCTTGTGAACTCGGCTAGTATATATGAAACATTTGTCATGGAGTTGTAGAGGGAGTTATGTGCCTCGCCGGGCTAAAGTAGTGGATGACCTTGCTGTACGGCAAGTTAAACAAGGATCTGAAACTACTAGGTTCCGTACAGACTCAACTCTGCACCCGTGTCAATATGTTCATTATATGCAAGCCTCTTGATTTATAAGTGAGCCTTAAAGCAGTGATCCATGTACTGTTAACAACATAATTACCCTATAAAGCTATAATAACATAATTACCCTATATTGTTTCTATCATCAGTAAAGTTAGTGAAATAACGACGATCAGTTGAAAACAACCTCTATTATCTAGAGTCAAAGGAGCAACCCTTTGTCATTAACAGATGGCACCTGAACCACATCCATAGGAGGAAAACTTCACGTGTCCAGTAAATATACTTCTGATTGGCTGCTAACAGTTTACAGTGCAGCTGTCTTGATAGTAATAGGAGGGGCTGGACTTCCAACAAACTCCTGGTTATAATTTGGCGGGGGTGGTAGCACGGAACTTGTGGTCATGTGACTGTTTGGGCGATCCTGATTGAATAAAAAGGTGCTGAAACGGTCATTCCATCAATATTATCCGTAGTTGTACTTTCTTACTTTTTTTGAAAAGATGGTGATCAGTGGCACTGGCACGTGATCGTTTGTTTAGATAACCTTGAATTTAGTTGCATATCAAAACTTTGAATTATATCCTGTCCTCACTCCTCACCAATGATCCTTCAGTTTTAGTTTGGTTAAAATGCGTAAACAATTCTCAAACATTTAAGTGCTGGAGATATCCTACAGTAAAATAAGTATTAGGTAACTGTGAAAACCATTATTGGTCGTCATTTATGTTGACTTTAAATGAGTTATTTAAATAACTTTGAAATACCATGTTGAACATGTTGAACATGTTGAACATGTTGGAAATATTTCTTATTACTAAATCCATTTGTTTGCGAATTTAAACAAGAACCATTACATTAAATTCTTAATGATCTCGCGCACTAGATATGCACCGATATTCTCCTACCCTTAATAAGTCAAATAACTTACTGTAAAAACAATCATTAAGACCCACTTTAAATAAGTTACCATACAGCGTCTGGCAGATTATAGTTTGGAATGGGCTGATCAGCTGCAGGTTAGTACTTTGGACGAGCATTCAGTAACTATAGTTACTACTATAGTTACTACTATAGTTACCACTATAGTTACTACAGTAACTATGATGCAGGAAGTAACTTTAGTTACTATAGGTACTACAGTAACTAGGAAGTCGGAAGTATGCATTATGTATTATCTTCGTTACATTTCATTATTTTTTGAACAATCGCCATAATTACAATGCAGATAAATTAAAAGACTTCATAGACGATTCTAGTTTACAACCTACAACTAGTCAAGTATGTGATCATTAATACCCGCCTTAAATGAGTTACCATCTGGCAGCACTTTATCGCTAATATGATATTCCTATATCAAAAACACGCAGGGAAAGATTAGTTCTCGCAAAACTAGACGTAGTTATTTATTAGTAAGACGGCGGAGCCAGTAGTAATTTTATTAGTAATTGTATTATTTAGATCTGCTAGGTTCAGGTGCAATAATTGTGTGTTCTAGTTAGGGCGGTTAAGGGTGTATGGCAGAGAATGTTTGCAGTTGTCGTCGTATTTAAATTGCTATCTGTTATTTATAAGAGCAACCTTTCGATGCCTTCCTCATTCTCTTCTATAACTCTATAACAGTGGAAACTCTTGAGTTTCTTATTTTGCAGAACGTTTTACTTCTTAACTTATCATGTTAGCATTAATATTTTATGAGGGACCAGAGACGTGCACCACCGCGATGCCACCGCCGCCGCGAAATTTTGACACAGACCGCCACTGCGAAATTTTGACCCAGACCGCCGCCGCGACATTTTGACCCAGACCGCGGTCTTTGAGGTATTGGCCGTCAGATCAACAAATACAGCTGTTAACGATAAATTAGTTCTTCAATGTAGAGTGATTTTAAGAAATCAATTCATATACCTTAAGAACGAATAATTTAGTTATACCATAAATTTAGTCAAACTTTTGACTAAAATTGTTGTAAAACAAATTTCATAAGACTAATTTTTTCGGCGACTAATTTTAAAGGAGACCAAAATTTTAGTAGAGCATAATATATGACATGAATAGCATTGAGCTTACATTGTTTATAATCAATATAATGACATTATCGTTCCTACTGCTGAACTACTTTGTTGGGAGGAAAGACTGTTGTGAAACTACGAACTGTAACAAAGTCTTATTGCACTTAAAGGGTTAGAGCTCCTCTTGGACATTATATTTTTAATCGATCCATCCCAAAATGTTCTGTTGAAACGGCTGAAGGATCATATCGACATAAACTACGTCGTACCGACAGAAATGGTAAAGTCGAAAAAGGGTGAAAAAGAAACCGAACAGCGTACTGAAGAACTTAGTGATACAGAGTCACAGACTCTGGATCTGATGTTATTGAAATTCCTGAGTAATGCATTTCAGCATTAATCTGTAATGCTCAGACGGGTGTCATTGCCGAATAGAATTGATAGATAGCATTTTATTTTACAAATTATTTCTTTTATTTCTTTATTGCAACAAATCATTTAATCAACATGCCTAACTATATAGTATGACTTTTTATGCGAAATCGTTAAAAAAACTAGCTAAATAATCGAAAATCAAAGAAATGGAATGAAAAATGGTCTCGAAAAGTCGAAAAATGTGACTAAAATTGTTGTAGACAAAAAAAATTTATGAAATTTGTGACTAAAAGTATGGTAACCAAATTTATTCGCCCTTAGGTACATCAGTTACACAACTAAATTACCATCATGTACACAGTAGACCTTGGTTTGGATATCTAGTAGACAGACCGCCGCCGCCGACCAATTTTGGCGTCCAGACCGCCGCCGCCGACCAATTTTTGCGCACAGACCGCCGGAGCCGAACAATTTTGCGTCCAGACCGCCGCCGCCTAAAAGTAACACGGTGCAAATCTCTGACTATTGTTCGGGATCTTTGATCGTCCTTGAAATCGTTCGGATATTAACTACTTGCTTTAACAAGGCGACTTGACCGGAAATATTCATTGCAAGGAATTAATCGTAAGATGAAGAACACACTGCTGGTGGTTTTTGTGTTAATACTTAGTACGGCGTATGGTTATAATTCTGTTGAGAACAGAGAGATGGACTGTCTGGAATCTTCTCACTGGTTAGTGACACATTAGTGACCCATAAGTGACACATTAGTGACACATTAGTGAACCATTTGCATTAGTGACACATTAGTGCCCTATAAGTGACATATTAGTGACCTATTAGTGACACATTAGTGACACATTAGTGACACATTAGTGACATATTAGTGACACATTAGTGACACATTAGTGACCTGTTAGAGTGTTAGTGACACATTAGTGACATATTAGTGACATATTAGTGAAAAATGATTTGGGTTTAGGTTTATATTAACTATTGGGGGATGAGGGTTGCATGATGCGTGCTTGTGTACGACAATTATTACTGATAATTTTAACCTTGGATACTGGGTGAGCCATGTTGTTATGACACGTGACAGTCGTTCAGGGATTTAATGAACAGTTTAAAACTCATGATTGCAAGATCAACAACATCCAAGGAAGTACGGTACCAAATTTAATATATTGTTTCGATTTAAACAGAAGACTGAATAAGAATACACCTCCGCAGGCATTACTTCCACATTGACTGGAATGGAGGACTAGTCCGCAAGGCACAGCAGGTATTACAGGGAGAGGACAGGAGACGAAGAGATACTACAGGTATGTGTATGCTGTAATACTAATATCACTATTTCATATATTGCAGGAACATTACAGGACACTTTTCTGTGTTAAGAGCTCGATCATGTGATTCACGTTAAGATGGGAATGTAGTGTTCGCTAAACTTTTGCACGCGCGAAGTGAGAAATTATCAGGAGTTTTATATTCGAGCTCAATGGGACAATTTTAAGCGAAATTATCTATTTGTAATCAATTCGAGGATTTCAGAAACTGAAGAGGGTGATGTAGAAACTGAAGAGGGTGATGTAGAATTTGAAACTGAGTTCAAGGAGGGGTTGTCATCCCTGGGTCATGGTTCTGATTCTACTATGACGGTGAGAATTCAAGTTTCTGTATTGGTTACTGGCTAACATAGATGTAGATTTTAGTTACAGATCACACTCTTATCTGATATTTTGTCGATTTAGGAAAGAATTATATGCAAGGGGCATGAACGAAGAACATTTTGTGTTCTTGATCTACAGTACTAATAGTAAAAAGTATATATTATATATATATTTTGGGCATCTGTTCTCAATGGCGCCAGAAAGATGCTGGTTGCCAGTTGTGCCTAAAAGCTACTCATTTCAGTTTGACTAAAATGGTGCAGTTAAATTATCTAACAAAGCTCCTTCCAGGTTAAAGGTTCGTGTTTGAAGTACTTCAGGTCGAAGATGTACGAAATCAGGAGATTTTCTAGTGGAGAGGTGGGTAAATGAAGCGATTAATTCCAGGAGTTTATCAATATCAATACTGTCCAGAAAAGACCGGTTAAAAGTGCCTTATTGTGTTAACTTAATAAATAACTTAATAAATAACTTAATAAATAAATAATTAGCATATTTATTTATCAAGTTATCAACACAGTGAGGCACTTTAAACCGGATCATTCTGGACTCTCCAAAAATAATGTATGATATGCATGGGAACAGAGTACAGACGATCCATACATTTGCTAACGCATATTAAATTGTTCAGGTTGGTTGTACGGTGCAGCAGACTGGAAAGAGAGTGAAGATTATCTGCCACTACAAAAAATATTAGTTGAGGGACTGAGCATGATCGAGAGCACTCATTTTTCAAATTTGAAAACATTGCATACCATGTTTCTTGCAAAAACGGTTGTTTTATTTGTTTAACCATGTTTAAAGGCGAGATAACTAAAATCTGATGGATGTTTTATCTTTAAAGCTTTAAGTCTTTACCATTAACTGTTGAGTTGCTAACAGATCAGTACTTCAGTAGAAGTAAAAATACTATTTTATTCCGATTATTTATCACTGAAAGGGGACTTCTAATTTGTAAATTTCCGTTTGTTCACAATCAGATGTTTAAGGGCACGGTCAGATGTTAAGGGCACAGTTAGTAGCCAGCTATTGTTCCCTTTTAAAGTGCTGGCTAGTGACTACCTAGCAGTACCCAGTATAAATTTGACGTAAGAATAATTTCAATTAGGCACTCAGTGACTGAGCTATTAAGGCCAACGTATGGATACTGACTTTTGCCCCCTCCCTAAAATTGGTAAAATTAGATGATTTCAGAGGGCACGCCGGTAAAATCTCTAAAAAAGTGTGTTTCTAGAGCAAAACGCGCAGTTTTGCTAGTACCTCAGTTAAGTTTTTCAAAATTGTCCCACATTCAAACGACGATTTTGCGCCCCCCTAAGATAAGTGTAATTAATTCTTCAAACCGGCCAAACATTGATCAGCTTTTGTAATTATGATGTTTTTTTGCATGTTTTGTCTTTTGTCAACTGTGATATCAGATAAGGATATGATACAACAAATAAAAATATTCAATTGAAGGTACAGCAGAGGACAGGGGGTGTATAATCGTTACATAATATAGAAATCCAGGTGCAATAATCAATGAGGGGCAAAACATTAAAAGAAATTAAACATTCACTTTTATTCCGCCTTCACTCACTGAAAAACGAGATCATCCCCAAATTTAACCAGCTGTAGACACTAATCACTCTACAGATTTCATTTTCTGAAATAAGGTTTGTTCTAGAAGTAAAAACCTCATCCGCCCTCTCTGTTAAATTATGTCTGAAATCCGGTAAGTTACACCTTCATACCTGATGGCTAGACGTTAACAAAAAACACGGGACTTCTTTTAAAGGAGGAGAAACAGCACCTGACCACCGTGTTCTACATCCATACACGTGCTATTTCTTTTCTCTTCTTTCATAAGTAGAAATGATAATGGTTTCAAACTCGCATTTATTTTAATATGTTCCTTGATTTGGTGCTGAGGTTGACAATCGTGAGATGATTCACTTACAGCGGCGCCCCATTGCTGTGCTTTTTGGTGTTGCTTTTATTCTTTCGACAGCACTATTGTTGTTTGCAGGTAAAATTATATAAAAATGGTTTTAACTTCTGGCTGATGAAAATCAATTCAGTTTTCGATAATTCTCCAATATTATAGTGTTTCCAAATGATACTGGCTTCTTTTATTTTTAACGTTAACGTATCAATTTGACGTGCTTTAATACTGAGAGAAACTACTAGTCAGGCGCCAATTTTAGCAGAGCTGTCTAGTGTCTTATCATCACACATAAGCAAAACAAAAAGTACAGCCTCCTAAACAATAATATCACCATAATTGTCTCCCCCTCCCACGATTAGTTTCTCACAACCGCTGAACACCCAGAAGGAAGCTACCTCGGTACCGTGTCCCAGATAGAATCTGGCAACAACACATCTCAACTAGACCAACTAGACCAACTATACCAACTAGACCCGCCCAACTATATCACCTCCTCGGACATGTTGGACTGTCTCAAGAACACTCACAAACGCTGGTTTAAGCTACCGTGGAGCTCTAGGCTGGCCACCAGGGCTTACTCCATGCTCGAACGTGATCGACGATGTGATGGTACGGTCATTATTTTGTATTTAAGATTAACCATTAACTTTAACTAACGTAGATATAATCCTAGTTCCCGCAAACAATAAACATGTTGTTGGAACGCCTTTTTATCAAGGACGAAAGCACAAAAACAATATCAACAATAATTCAAATACTGTATGAGTTTTCCGGATATCGACAAGCAATATTGACAACAAAGATTTATATAGATATCTACGACAGGGGAGGCGGTGAGTGATGATGACAGTAGTGACGATGATGATGACATGTCTATCTGCGCTCTTATACGACAATGTGATGACTACATCTCCAAGGGCAGGGTCAGAAGAATAAGAAAGTACGATCATACTTTTGAGTCACCCTAACTTTATTATCATAGATTATAAGAGCGGTATTTCAAAATAACCCTTCCTGTTTTGAGGTTGGCACCACCTTTATATTAAATACGGTTCATTTTCAAGTGTCATAAGGGGTCGTTCACATTTATCTCTCTCCCCAGGGTGGACGGAGAGGTTGGGTGTGCAGTGAAGGACTACACTCCAAACCTTCGGTACAAGTGGGTACTGTGTGTTTACGAGGATGATGATTAGAGGGAGATAACAGTGAGAGAGTGTGACGTCACGTGAGGGAATGTGTGACGTCACGTGAGGGAGAGTGTGACGTGTGCAGTGAAGGACTACACTCAAACCCTCGGTACAAGTGGGTACTGTGTGTTTACGAGGATGATGATTAGAGGGAGATAACAGTGAGGAGATCGGAGGGTGGGCTCAGCGAGAATAGCTGATTTTAATTGTTATTTGATTTCCATACTGAAATTGGTGTTTTTTCTGTTGATTGTGTACATTTGAGCACATACAGAATGACTTTTTCGAAGAAATTACAAATTAAATGTCTTAAATGTCTTAATTCTTAAAATACTGTGGAGTATGGAATATGGATAAGCTAAACAGAGTACGGTAGAGTTAACTAACTTACCGACTAGAACATGAACAAGCACTATAGTGACTCTCTGTTCGTGGATGTACAGAACACGTGGTTTCTCTCCGGGAGCGGAGTACTTGCTGTACACTGTCAGGGTCTTGATGTGCTCAACTGGGTGAGAGAAGAGAGGGTTATTTCTCTGTGTGAGCTAAAGTGGGACATGCGACTCTCCCTCGCGTGACGTCATACTCGCTCTCTCTCACCTGACATCACACTCTAACGTGACGTCTAACTATTTCACGTGACGTCACATACCCTCACAGTATACTCACTAGTTCTAACAGAGTCAGCACAGAGCCAGGGTAGTCCTAATAGAGAACATACTAAGAGGATAGCTCCCATCAGAAACGTGTCCCAGTTAGGTGTACAACCTGGAAATAGTTTTAAATTAATTACAACAATAATATCAAGGCCTTGTTTTAATTCTTAATAAAAAGCTTGAATGGTAAAGAAGATGAGGTAGAGTAACAAGGTAACTGCCTAATTAAAGGAACACAGAAATTCTGCCAATGTTATAAAGATTTTATTGGAACAATTCGTAGTCCGATTGCGGGAAACATTGATTCTTGACAGAAACTAACTTTAGAAAAAGTCATAAATTAAACATACTACAGAACTTTAATAAAATAATAAATACAACTCAAAATGTAATATCCTATAACCTTTGACGAGTCTGTGACCAGGTTTCCTAACCAGAACCCCGGTGAGATGACTCTCCATGATGATCAGTACAGAGACCAGGAAGGCGGGTATTACAGCTGAGATAGCTAGCAGAGGGATGGAGATGGAGGTGTAGGAGGTGTCGAACATGTCTATATACCTGGGATGGAGTGTGACGTCACGTGAGGGAGAATGTGACGTCACGTGAGGGAGAGTGTGACGTCACGTGAGGGAGAGTGTGACGTCACGTGAGGGAGAGTGTCACGTGAGGGAGAGTGTGACGTCACGTGTGGGAGAATGTGACGTCACGTGAGGGAGAGTGTTACGTCACGTGAGGGAGTGTGACGTCACGTGAGGGAGAGTGTGACGTCACGTGAGGGAGAGTGTGACGCAACGTGAGGGATAATGTGACGTCACGTGTGGAGAGAGTGGTGGTTACCTTCACTCATATAGTAATGAGACCCCCAGTGATTATTAAGGGCCTTGTACAGAAGAGAGCAAAAAACCCCTTTCCAAAAAGATCGGTAATTTTCAATTTTGAATTACAGTTACAATGTGATGAAAGTGTGGTTACCATGATTCTCGTTTAGTTGCAGTGTGTTGGAACTTGTCCGGCATGACAAGAGGCTCCGTGTAAACACTTGTCGTTAAATTAGCTACAATTATCATCGTTATCATTGCTATTGTGATTCCAAACCCTGACATCACACTCCGCAGCTGAAATTTAATTAATTAATCACTGATATAACGACAATTCACCAATCTGGACATTACATAGGAATCATGTCAATAACACATATTATATCATATCTGTCTTATACCGCGAATACACAACTATTGTTTATTATATCGGCTACTTTGGTTCTTTCGTTGACTGTATAGTGTATAATCTTGCTAATCGTCGACAATAACAATATTTGACAATAACAATACTTGCTGCTCCGTTTGATTTTGGTCCAATTGTAATCTAAACCAGACAAGTCCTGATCCATTGAAATTAGATTTCGTTTTAGAGGGGACAAATTGTATTGTGTTTGTAAATATAAAGCTATAATCTTCATTCTTACTGTTTTACTGGAAAGGTGTGACCAAGTGCAAATTAATATAAATGATTCCATGAAAATTAACATTTTTGATTTATCAAATAATATATCTCTAGAATCTGATAAATCAACTGGCCATGTTATTTTGTGTGACGTCACGCGAGGAGAGTGTGACGTCATACTGGCTACGTTATTTTGCCTGGAGATACAACTGCTTTAAAGCGAGCACAAACTTTTCTACGTTACATCTCATTTTGATTTACCATAAGCTATAGCTTACTTTTATTTTCGAGAAATTCATGAATTCTAATTGAGATCATTATTTTCTGTCACTAACACCTGTGTCTAAGATGGAGTATTACTGAATTATGTCATTGTCATTACAAATCGAGGGAATGAGGGTGTGACGTCACGCGAGGAGAGTGTGACGTCACGCGAGGAGAGTGTGACGTCACGCGAGGAGAGTGTGACGTCATGCGAGGAGAGTGTGCCGTCACGCGAGGAGAGTGTGCCGTCACGTGAGGAAGAGTGGGACGTAACGCGAGGAGAGTGTGACGTCAAGCAAGGAGAGTGTGACGTCACGTGAGGAGAGTGTGACGTCAAACTCTCCTCACGTGACGTCACGTGAGGAGAGTGTGGCGTCACGCGAGGAGAATGTGACGTCACGTGAGGATTTCCGGCATCACTGATAACTAAAATTACAGCCGTAATTCTTGGTTTGTAAACGGTTCCCAAACCCTAAAAAGTTTAAATCCATATCTAATCGCTTCTAGAATCTTCTAATCTGAACTCCATCCTGGGGACCAGTCCATAAAAACGAGATAATATGATGTCGATTAACCGGGCCCCTAACTCTTAAATCGGGCCCCTAACTCTTTAATCAATTGACAAAGTATCCCGCTACCTTGTGGAGCATCAAACGCACCTTTTAAAAATCGATTTTAGCTAGATTCTTGGCAAAATCAATCTCGAAAGTTTATGAAATTTCTCAGTGACTAATTTAGATTCCAAACCAGCTGCTCATATTTATCAGACCAGCTACTAGTACTTAGAGACACATTGTCAGCCACATGTTCCACAAGATCTTTTAATTTACTGATACGAGTGAACAATTTTGAAGAATTTCGTTGTGCACCGTATCAGCTGATGAATCGAGGTATTCTGAAACCCATTCCCTCATAGGTCTGACGCCTGACCAATGTTTAGATATAATTTATAATCACCCCCTAGATGTTTAAATTGAGTGGTAATTTTGTATACCTTCATTTGCATCTTTGCATAAAGTGGCTTATTACTTTATTATAGTAGTGGTGAATCTGAAGCCTTGGAGAGTTATAATCACACTGTATAATTATCGTCGCGTACGTGCTGTACATCGTAAGACACTGTTTATCCAAAATAATCCCAATTATATGGAAGCCCATCCCATTGTCTGACTCAGCAACAATGTGCTTTGTAGGAAGATCTGTCTCGGCTTTTATCACACGGTATGAGCCAATCATATTAAGGCATAATAATCTTATGCTTATGGCGATTGGCGATGGAATTATGGTGATAGAAGTTATGCTATAATTCCATCGCTGAGTTTCCTCTAGCTATGTAGGATGAAATATTCAACAAAGTTTCCTTTTTCCAGCCGCGCAGACATTAGACTAAACTCCGTCTTAAAGGTCAAACTAGATATGTAGTGAATTTTTAGTACCATACTCAGCAATTTTTCTAGAAACTATGCTCGCTACTTAATTTTTGTTCGGTAGTTTTAAGAAAATTGTCACCAATCTAAACCAAATATATTTGATGACAGGTCGCAGGCATATAGCATTAGCATAAAGTGTATTTTTAATGTTGACACTTTAAAAGAGGCCGACACGATAAAATTTAAATATTTGCTACGAAATATGTCAAAATTTAAACTGACTAACTTTTTGTCCTGACTGCTCGTCGTCTTGTTTTATCCTGTAAACACAAGGATATTAGCAGGTAGCTGAAACGTGTCGAATAATTGAATGAGTCAGCAAGCAGACATTTCTCCATTTCATTATTTCCATGCTGCATAATATAAGATCTTAATTAATTTCAATTGTTTACTGGATATGATGTACTACGGACATGATAGCATCAAGGAAGTGCAGGCAAATACAAGTATCGTGCATCAATAATTCTATATTTTTAGCTTTACATTCGTCAGCGTGTGCACCTGGCATATGATGTAGTGCACTTTCATTCTCCAACATCTTCTTGCAGTGAGTTATCTGCAGTTATATTCAAGTTGATGACTCTCTGGTCTTTCTACTTTTGCTTTTTAGATCGCAGCATCGTAACCAAATCAAGAGCACGATGTTAAAGGAGATGCTCGTCGTTCGATAAACGTGAATTCTTTCGGAGGAGGTGAGGGCCATATTTTTTGACACGTGACATTAATTCTAGGGTTGTTTTGGTCAATAGTGGATGCTGGTTGGCTTATTCATATTACAGTCACGTGTCGAAACAATATGCCTTGCCTCCCCCGACAGAATCCACATCAATTGATTAAATGATATATACTCCTATGTTTGTTTGTTTGTTGCCTGGACGGTGCCGGTAGTTCTAATGACCAATTTACAAAAAGTTATATACATAATAATATTATATATAGATAATATTATGACTCGAGAGAACAGAAAATATCGCCTGCTGAATTCAAAGCCTATTCAATTTCAACACGCTATACCTTTCAACCTTCATAAGTTAATACCTTCCATCTGTTCAATTTAATCTCGTTACTGTTAATGATTTGTTGCTGTGAGAGCGGTTCTGGATATGGTTAGTTGTTATCTGCCGGTTTTACTATAATCTAGAGATAGATAACATAGCTAGGAATTAGGATAGGGTCCTGTTGATTCGTTAGACAGGTTTAGTTTCGTCACTGTGGAATCAACAACTCATAACCTGCTGTTTCAAAATAAACAGTCCCTAGATTTATAAATTATAATTTAACGTGGATAAATAACGAAGTGTATACAGCTTTTCAATTTATTGTTATCCTGATCATATTGAAATGTTTCAATATTGTTATCTTCATATTTTACTCAGCTCATATGTCATAAATAGCATAATTCGTTATGCTCTGGTCATTAATGTGATAAACGCGTTGCTCCATCTGTTGTATAGTACGTTTCGCGAGATGGGTAATAACATATTTGTCTCAAATTTCGTCGAAGGAGCATGTTTATTGTATAAATTATCCATTAGCAACGAGGTTAATAAATGTTTCAGCTTCTAGCAAAGATATTTACGCCTAGAAATGTGAAATTTTCATGATTTTCATTCGGATTATGATGGTTGCAGGTTGATCCTACAGAATCTAGATCAACGAGTGGCTTATACTATTATTATAAATGTAATATTTATAGATTATATTACTATAGATCCGTGTCTGCTGCTTAACGTTATTCCATACAATAGTAAATATTATGTTGTGTCTTATATTCAATAGCATTAAGATTTACAAAGACCGTTGCACAAGCTTCAGTTAATCGGTTATTATTGAAGCTTTTGTTCCAAAATTATGACTTTGATTCTGTTGTTGAGTTATAGATTGTTGAGCCTACAGAATCTAGATCAAAGAGTGGCTTATAGATTATTGTCTGCTATTTCTTAAATTCGATAGCATTAGTATTGAAAAAGTCTGCTGCATTAGCGGTTATTAATTGGTTATTAGTGAAGCTTTCGTTCAAAATTATGACTTTGATTCTGTTATTGAGAGATGACTTATTGCTATTGTGATTTCGATCAAGTTGTGCTTTCAGTAAAGCACTTTGATATATTCTATTTAACCGTGTAAACTGTAAGTGGTTAGCGCATTTAAAAATAAACACTTGTGGACGGGTTTACTTTAGTTTGTTTTGATTTATTCGTGAGAAAATATATTAAGTTAACACGCTTACTTTCTATTTTCTGCTCATTTCGTAATAACAGATCCTAGTTCCTAAAATATCACGAAAGAGTACCATGATGATATTATTATATTCCACTTTAAACGTTAAACCTGAAAGCGAACTAATGTACTAACTAACAAGATGTCCTGATCCGCACGAAACTCTGTGTTATTGTGAGCACTGAATATACCGTGATTCTTCAGGTTGGCACGCACTAAACGTATTAACTTCGATTCGAAGTGCAAATGATGATAACATATATATTTGATGAGAATATTTCCTTCACTTTGAAGTGGTGGGACACATTGGTTGATTTACTACCAATTTCTTATGTCAGGAGTGCACGCACTGACTCACTCTCAGGAGGACTTACAGTTTTACGTTGCTTAGAAAACCGTGTAATGAAGTGTGGTAGAAGGTAGTTCACAGAACTTTACTACTGTAAAATTATTTCCTTATTTCGAATGAATAGATTAAATTAATAAACACAGATGAGGATAGCAATTACCACTTAGTTGTTACCTTCGTTAAACAATCTACATGTCCCCACTGTTAGTTAACTTAATTGATTGCCATAAATTATTCTAAACTTATTTAACCAACTCACTCTGAACATGTCAATGAAAGACCGTTGCCTTTAGAAGCACCCGCTACGAACAATATTCACCAAACTCTTTTATTAAACATTTATTGTTTTTATATATAACAGAACAATTTGTTATCATTTAATTATTCGGCTTCCCTTTTAGAT